CTCCCTGTGGAGAGGAAAGCAGCAGGGGAGGGGAAAGCAATTATAAGCAGAAAAAATGGCTGCCGGGAAAAAGCACCTCCTTCCCACCCACAGGTCTTCTGATCCAGATTGCAGCCTGACTTTCATTTTTTAAAAGAGAAAATATGTCTATAATATGAAGTTTTGCCATGAAAGCCCATTTTCCCTTGCAAAGTGTGGCTTCTGAGGCAGTAATTTGCATCTAAGGAAATGCAAGAAGAAAGGGAGGGGGACCCCCCCTTCCACTTGCCTCTTCCAATGTTCAGGGCCCTTGTTTACCTAGCAGAAAAAAGTTCTGGAATTCCACAGAGGTAGAATCACAGAGATACAAATCACCTCCTCCCTTGGGCTCTTTTCAAGGGAGAAGGAATGGGCCTTCCAGGCTTCCTTACTTGCAGTTTTGGTATTTGTTTTCCTCTAGGCACTATGGCAGCCCTGAGTATCTAGATCCTGAGAGGGTGGCAAATTATTGAGAGTTGAAACCTGCACTGCAAGGATGCCACTGGTTGTGCAGGGCCCTGGATAATCTGCATATGTTCTTGCACATGGCTGAGTCAACACAGTTTGCCATTTGATGCCTTTCCCTGAGTATGGTAGACTCCAGGTCATTGCTGTTGGGCATATTGCAAATTAGGGGAGCCCTGAAAGAAAATGGAAACTCCACAAAGAGAATGCTTCTTAGAATCAGATTCATTTCATTGTATTTAGTGACCAGCCATCACGTCTTTCATTACATTCAGAGCATTCAAAATGATCTGTGATAAGCCTTAGCCCAAAATAAAACCACACTAATGTATAAAATGACCTAGAATGCCACAAATACAACCCTAAAACAAATATTGTTCAATGCCTTTCCAATGCTACAACAATAAAACTGTGAGCATAACAGAGCCCTGCTCCAGGATTCTCTAAAACTGGGCATTGACGGTGGTTTAAGAGCATCTCTGCTGGAGCAGAACATCTGACACCATTTTGTATGTTTTTCCTCTGTGCCCCCATACGTTAGTAAACACTTATGATAAAAGAATCACCAGAAATATAGACAATTATTTCCAATAATGAGTAATTATTTTATGCAATTCAATTTTTATATTGTACCTTCTCTTCATAACAACAATAAAGGAGTCAATTTTGTCACAATCCAGCCACCCCTTTACTGAGAGCTGAATTTTCAAGATCTTACTGGGGACTTCTGAGTCTCGCGGGATCTGTTTGTGACTCTGCCATACAGTTTTGGTGGATGGGTACAAGCACCCAAGGCGAAGGTGTGGACTGACCTGTTGATCAAGGTCCTCCCTCACCTTGTCCTTTCTCTTGCTTCAGACTCGGAGACGGGAGAAGATGATGCCAGCACACAGGTGACCCAACGCAGCCAGCTCCAGGATGAGACCACCTATAGCTCCCCAACAGGTGAGGAGAAGAAGGCAGGTGAATGGAGAGGTTTGGCAAGCACTCTGAGCAGAATGGGCATGGAACTATATTTCAAACCAAAGATGTTGCTGCTGGCGCCCCAGCAATCCTGCCCCCAAATCCCCTCATAATCCTGAGACTGTAGCCTCCCTGCTGCCTGGCCCTTTCTGAGGCAAGTGTGGTATGTCACATATACCATGCCAACACAAATAGCCCCACTCCCCTGTGATTTGTTCACCATGAATCCTATGAGCAGGGTCTTCTTCTGTCCCTGAGTGTCCAGCTTTTTTGGATCATTGGCCAAAGAGTTTAACTCTCTCTTCAGGGTTCCTTTTTGCAGGCAGCTACCATTGGAGCATGAGAATTACTGCTCCCCAGAGACATAGCCAACCTGACATCACCTTTTCCTGGAAGAAGGGCAACATAATTAAACCGACGCAGAACATTAATTTAATAAAGAGGGCAACTTTATATCGGAGGAGGACTCAGCAAAGCATAAAGGTCATTAGATTCCACAGAAATAAAACTGAAAAATCGCAGCCTTTAACTCTAGCCTCCTCATGCTGGGTTCCTTCAGTACACGTCACTTCAGACGGTGCTCATGCACCTTCCACAGAATGACTAGGCAAAATGGGGCAGGGGAGATAGAGCCTTGGTTGATCATGCATCCCAGTTAGCAAATTGTGCTTAATGGGGGCTGTATTCTGAATTGAGCAACACTTGGAATCTTTAATGAGCAGGGTTTAAGTGTCAATGGGCATATATATATATAATTGTTCTGCATAACGTTATATTGTATAAAAAAGCCAGTCACACTCCCAGGTGACAAAGAAACAGGATGGAGCTGTGCACATGTTTATGCAGATAGGAGCAAGCTGGATTCTCAGAAGTCAGCAGTGTGGGAGTCAGGTTTTATTTCCCTGAGAGCACCCACCTAAGCAGGTGACTAGTTTCCATTCATTCTTTTGAGTAAATGTATGAGATTATTAACCATGCGCTTCTCACTGTTAGCAACCTTCTTTGGCTTTCCAACCTCAGTTTTTTTATGGGCAACTTTTAGCCACCTGTTTGCTTTTCCACATTCTCCTTTAGTTTAAATCGTTCTTTCCTCTCGAAGTGTCTCTTTAAAAAAAATGCAGTCCTATTCTCTCACATTCTTTTTACTGAACAAAAAAACAGGTCCGAGTTTTCCATCACAAAAGAGGTTTCCCATTGTTTGATCATCCCGGTGCCTCTTTTTGGGTGGTTCCGGGGACAACAACACAAGGCATAAGCTCCCATTTTCAGTTTGGCAACTTTATCCCCAATAAACTTGTCTTCAGTGCCTGGCACAGAGCACTGCAGTTCTGGCCCTCCATCGCTGCTCTTCCTTCAGTAGGTAGTCTTGGATAAGCTAGTCTCTAAAAAGTTGGGGGAACAATGATCTACCTTGCAAAGCAGGATAAACAAGTCAATGATTGCAATGCACTGTGCATGTTAAAAGAGCTACATGAATATTCATTTATATCATTGCAATAAGAAATTGTTTGTCTCTCCTTTCTTCACTGCAAATGTCTGACCTCGTGTGTTGCATAATTGTGTTTCCCTTTACTCTGGCCGCATCATCTTGGTGGCTGAGTTATTAAGTGACCAACCTGGCCTTGTCTTCTTTTCCTTCTTCGCCCCTCTTCTTTGTCCTTTCCAGCTGAGAGAAAAATGCTTATTCTTAGCCCTCAAGAACACGGCCTGACGCTAACCCATGATATATGCAGTGGCACTGCACGCTCCAAGAAACTGATACTTTACAGCCTCCTAAATTAAAACAATATCGATAGAATCTCAGGTTATCAGACCCCGATCTGATGCAAGGGAGATGGAAGGCCTCCCAGCCCCTCGATCAGTCCATGTCTGTCTTTCCTTGCAGGGGAGTCGGACACGCTGGTGGATGCCTCCATGAAGACCACGCCGACCTCAGTGCCAGGCCTGTCCCAGACAGATGAGCACTCCAACTGGTCAGGGAGCCAGACCACGGTTTTGGAGAAGGACCCAGAGGCTGGCCCCATGGTGAGGGGACCCTACCTGCACCCCAGCATTCCAAGGCAAGCACCTGCCGAGGCCCGGCACCTGGGGGTGGAGCCGCTGGTGCGGGCATCACGGGCGGAGCTGATTGGCGTGGCCCCGGGGTCCGAGGACAGCCTGTCTCTGGGGAGCGACCCCTACGGCAGTGCCTTCAGCCTGTACCGGGGCCGTGCCCTCTCCTTGCACGTGTAAGTAGCCGTGGGGCCGTGGAGTGGGGTGCAAGGGCCATTATGCTGGGACCATCTCTTCCCCCCTACTCTCCAGTCATAATCCCTCGCTGAACCCTCAACCTCTTAAGTCATTGATTCCGAGGCACCACCGAAACTTCCCGAGCCCCATCATCACAGTCCCAATCCCTGATGTCATGGCACCCTCCATCCACAGCCCCCCGCTGCACTCTCTATACCCTCTGAAGCCACCCACACTATCCTGCCATTGTCTCTCCTACTGCTTCCTCTGCTGCAGTATCTTCCCCCTCCCCATCGCCTCCTGCCTTCGCGCTCCTAAAATGTTGCTATGAGGACAATGGGCTGCATAGGTAGGTATCCGCTGCTGGCCCAGGCTTCCCACTCCCTAATGAGCATAGAGAGCAGAGTCTCCATAGTTCCTCCCCTCCCTGGGGTTTGCTGTCTTCCTTTGGCCTGGAGCTGACCCTGTTTCGCATAAAGCCAATGGCATCAGTAATAGGCCCTCCAACACCAAACTCTGAGAGATGCCCATTTAATTGGGGCATCAATTGCAGCACTTAAAAAAACAACCCAAGCACAGTGAGCTGCACTCACTCTTCTGACGCATGGCAATATTATTTAAATTGATAGTAAAATAATGCCTATATCACCTTTCATTTCAAAAGGAATACCAGTCCTGGTATGGGCTAGCGAAGAAATTGCCATGACCAAGCGAGTCATTTAAGCCCTCCGAATCCTGGATAACCCAAATCCAAATTTATGACTTATGGGTGCAACTGAGCTAATATTAAGTACTTCTGAGTTCCATTTACTTCAAGGGAAGATTAAGCACCTGCTTAAAACGAATCCTTTTGAGATTAGTGGGACATAAAAGTGCTGTACTGAGGCTTGATTGCGCTTTATGTAAATTAGCCAAACCGAGACAGGACCATTGGATGGGAAATTGCCGTTTCATCTGAATGTTTGATTTCACCCACACAGAGACGAGACCCCCATAGCTGGCTTGGTGTAGGTAAAGGTGGAGACAGTCACAAGAGGTTGTGATTGTCATATAGACAGGGGCCTATACTGTTCCCACCAAGGCCTAGATTAATGGGGAGAAATAGCAGGGTTTCGATGCCACCATCCACATTTGGGGATTTTAGTTTAGAAAAGTAAAGTAAAGGGAGTGCATCATTCAGGAATATATAATTATGCATGGTGTAGAGTAAGTGGATACAAATATTTTTTTTCTCTAGCTGACTACTGTGGAGACAGAATGCTGGACTAGATAGACTATTGGTCTGGCCCAGCTGGGGTCTTCATATGTTCTTATATTCACCTATTTCTGAGGTCAGTGCATCTGACTGTTAACCAGAAGATTGGGGGCTCAAGACCTCCCAGGGATGGCTGTGGGCAGGATTCCTTCATTGCAGGGGGTTGGACTAGATGACCCTCAGGATCCTTTCCAACTCTATGATTATTAAACAACTTCAGGCAGGCAAATCTGGAGAAACTATAGAATACAGAAGAACAATCAGAGGTAGGTAGTAACCTCATCCATAAGGATGACGTGAAAGAGAGACTGGTTGCTGTTGCTTAGTAAAAGGTAAAGGTACCCCTGCCCGTTCAGGCCAGTCTTGCCAGACTCTAGGGTTGTGCGCTCATCTCACTCTATAGGCCGGGAGCCAGCGCTGTCCGGAGACACTTCCGGGTCACGTGGCCAGCGTGACAAGCCGCATCTGGCGAGCCAGCGCAGCACACAGAGCGCCGTTTACCTTCCCGCTGGTAAGCGGTCCCTATTTATCTACTTGCACCCGAAGGTGCTTTCGAACTGCTAGGTTGGCAGGTGCTGGGACCGAACGACGGGAGCGCATCCCGCCGCGGGGATTTGAACCGCCGACCATGTGATCGGCAAGTCCTAGGCGCTGAGGTTTTACCCACAGCGCCACCCAAGAACCCAACAAATGATGTAATGATGGTGATGTGATTATCTCTTTGGTAGTGGTGCTTTTGGCTACACTAATGTGACTTTTGATAAATTCAACACACACACATATTTTAAAACCCCCCGTTAAGAACCCCTTTTATTCTAGAAATGTAGCGATGCAGGGAGGCAAACAGGGAGAGATGATAAGCCGTGTCGAGTGCCAAATCTCTTCCTCATACCATATATAGATCCATTTCAGTTTCTGAGCCATTAGCAGGCACTGCCCACACATTTTTATTATTTCCCCCCTGTAATAATGGGAAACTGGATACCAGCGGTTTTTCTTAAAAGCGAAAGCTGAAACCCGTCATGCTGTGAAAATGGCAGCACACTCCATGTTAACTGCAGAGGCAGTGAGTGCAGTAAGGATCTTTGAGAGGGTGGGTGCAGAGCTACGTTAGGTCACTTGAGACTCCCTCATCTCCCTCTTCTTTCCTCCTGAGTTTGCTTTCCCAACTTTATCCTCACGCTTATCATCCTCCGGCTATGGTACCTAACTAAGTATACACTTGCATAATTCTCACTGTGTGTGTGTGTGTGCATGCAGCTGGACATGCATGCCCATTTGTTGTAAGGAACTGAGTTGGCCTTGGAATTAATGTATGTGTGCCAAGTATGTATCTGTTCGTATGTACACATGAATTAGTGTTTGTACCTGTGGGAAACAGCATGTCTGTGTACAGGATGCAGCTCTCTATTCCCCTATCCTCTGCCTTCTGTTGCATTTCTGGCTGCACCAGGGCCTCCCCTTGTCTTCCCCTGCTTCCTCAAGCCAGGCCAGCCTATACTCATCTACCACTGATGCACAGCCCGATGAACTCCCCCCAATCTCTTCCTTTGCCCTAGTGCAGCATCTGGCATGGCTCATTCAGCAGATAAGACCAAGAGTTGGCTCTTGCCAGGAAGAGTGGGTATTTTCCCTGGACTTTTGGCGGAGAATCCCAGTTCACCCATCTGGCCAGTCTTGGAATCAAATATGATGATGATTTATTTATATATATGCCACCCATCTGACTGGGTTGCCCCCCAGCCACTCTGGGCAGCTTCCAACAAATTAAAACACAAGTAAGACATCAAACATTTAAAAAAATCCCACATTTTTATGAGGCAAGACCCATCACAATGCAATCCAGACCACAGTATGCCACAGCACAGAGCAGGGGCACTGTAGAAAGGTCTAGGTGGGGCAAACAGCTTGAGGAGATTCAGATAGTAAGCCAAGCCACACACTGCTGGAGAAGGCAAAATCAAACACACACACCCTGCCCTGTACACATGCACACACATCTTCATCTAAGAACAGATGTACACGACTGTTGCTCCTTTTCATTGCCTCACCTCTCTCTTCCATGGGTAATTTAAACCCCAGGTCTGCCATTAGGAGGAGTTGGCCATGTGCTTGTTTAACCAGGGGGGTACTCAAGGGTACGCAGTACCGGCACCCCTTTTGTTGTGAGGCACTTACGGTAACAACTTCATGGTGAGTACCAGCACCTATTTTTCTAGAAAAAGAGCACTGGTTCTCCATATTTATTTATATATTTATTTATGTATAATCCACACTTTCATAAAAACGTAGCAAGACAGAGTAGGAGGATAAAATCAATAAAAGGATAAAATCAGCAAATATAAGGATAAAATCAACAAATGTTCCGTAAATCAGCATTCAAAACATCAATAAGACATCAGCATAGGCACCTGCTCCCTTGCCGCTCACCTTCTTTTGAGTTTTTCAGGCTGTCCTGCCTTAGCAAACTGTGCCATGTCTTGCCTTCCAACTGCAGCAACCTCCCCCATGGTGGGTACCGGAGGGATGATGCCAACAGCAGCAGCAAAACCAGCACAGATACCCTCCACCCACCAGCACAGAAGCCTCCTCTCCAGCGCCCAGTGTCCCCCAGAGCAGGGCAGTGCCCCGTCCAGCCGCCTGGGGCTGGCCGTGGCCCCACCCCACCTGTGGCTCCCCGCAGGAAGCTGCTGATGCCCCCTGAGTTCCAAGATGCGGCATCCGAGGAACTGGACGAGAAGCTGAAGCGCCCCAAGTCATCTGGCTACTCTCAGGCTTGCACAGGAGAGTCCCGGCCCCAGACGCCGCTGAGCGAGGCCTCCAGCCGCGTCTCCGTCCTCCGCCCATCGCCCAAGCTGCCGCGGACGGGCTCCAAAATCTTTGACAAGCTGAAGTTCTTTGAGGAGCGGCGCAAAAGCCTGGAGCAGAACGAGAACCCTTTTGTGGGGCACACATGGCTGCCGCTACGCAAGACGCGCTCTTTTGACCAGCCCGGCTTCGACGATGCCAGCCCCTTCCTCTCGGCCGTCTCCCACGAGGACCTGCAAGAGGACACCCGCTCCGAGCTGGGCGGCGTGGCGTTCCGGCGCCGGGCCTTCCACCAGAAGGCGGCCTCCTTGGATGAGCGCGGCCGCTTCTCCAGCCGCGTGCACGACATGGAGCACAAGTTCACGGAGGAGCTGGGCCGCATCAAGCGCACCGTGTCTCAGCAGCAGCTGCGGCGGTCGCAAGAGCTCTTCAGGTCACCGTCGCCACGTTCCTCCGCTGAGCCATCTGCTCCCAGGGTCCCGCCACCACGGAAACTCAAGCCCCTCAAGGCTTTGCCCCTGGCAGAGAATGCCCACGGCGTGCAGCAGCTGGTGTTGTCCAGCGTGGTCCTGGTGGGGCCCAGGGACGAGACCAAGGGGACGCAAAAGCCTCTGGCGAGGAGCGTGGCCACAGCTGAGCAGGTGGCAGAGCCCAGCAGGGGTCAGAAGGAAAGCGAGCTGAATGGGCAGGATCTGCGGAGGAAGGTGGAGCAGTGCCCGCTGACTCTGGCGGCCCCCTTGGGAAGGAGAGACCTCCTGCAGGCTGGGCATCCAGAGAGCAATGACTGCATGGATGGAGGGTCTGTGAACGCGGCGAAAGGGAGCCATGAGCCCAAGGGTCCAAGTGCAGCCTCACATGCCCGGAAACGGGAATCTGGCCAGAATGGACATTCCCTGCCCTGGGCCAAGACAGAACCAGGAGCAGATAGAAGCAGGGCAGGGACCCACGGTGCAAACAGAGAGTTGGAAAGAAAGACTGGGAAAGTGGCAGAGAAAAAGGACAACGCATTGCAGCCTCAGGAAGGGAAGAGCACTCGGAGCAGAGGCAAAGGGCGCCGGACGCGGCGAACGTCGCCTGAATCAGGTATGGAATCAGGGCAAGTGCTGCTGTCTCCTTGGGGAGGAAGCTGGCAAGCTAGGCTGTGCTGTATGCCGTGGGGAGAACTCCACCCAACTTCCCACAGAAATGGAGAGGCCTGTAATGTCCTTTCCTCCACTGTAGGCAAGACCCTTAGGATTCAGGCCAGAGCATCATGCATGCCTGGAATTGTATGAGCTCCTCACGAGGGTTGGTAAGTGCTTAGTCTTGGCTTGCCCTTATCTGTTCTGACTGCTTCTCACATTTCTGCCCATGTCATCAGCATCTGGGATGTAATCTCAGCCAGGCCTTGCCTGGAAGAGTCATTGGTGCATAAGCTTAGCATAGAGCAGGTGTGGGGATCCTTTGGACCTCCAGATGTTGCTGAACTACAAGTCCCATCAGCCCCAGCAAGCATGGGGAAGATGGGAATTGTAGTACAGAAACATCTGGAGGACCAAAGGATTTCCACACCTGGCATAGGGTGTGGGGAAGAGCAGGTTTTTGCAGGAAAAGCTTTGGAACAAATGGTTGGACATGGAGCTTTTAAGCTCAGATCTGTGCCTGGGAAAAGTGGGCCAAAAGCTAAGTGTGGATAAACCCCTCCTCACTATCCTTGGCCCTCTGTCCTTTTTGTTCCTTTCCATAAAACAAAGGGACAGCCTCTGAGCAATGGAAGTTGGAAAGAGGAGCATGAACTTGAGATCCAGTTTCTGAGGCGGCCAAGTGAGTGTGGCAACTTCATCAGGGCCTCCAGGTAGCTGGCAGATACAAGACACGGTGCAACATGTACAACAGTTAATTGGTTCACAGTTCACTGTGGTTATGTGTATGTTACAGAGAACTGTATTCTCCTAATGGCTAACACAGGTTTTGTGACAGGATTTTCAGTGCTTCTGAGTCAAGAATGGAAATACCTGCTCTTTGGACTAGTGCAGGTTTTGTTCATTTGCTTAGCATTTAGGTACATTCCTCATACATTCTTGCTGCTGCCTTGTAAGGTAAGTAGGCTGGCCTTAGTATCCCCATTTTACAGACTGGAAGTGAGGCTGAGAAATGCACACATCTTGAATGCACAGAAGTAGTGTATGTACCAAGGGGCTGCTGTACTGAGTCTACCAAATTACTGACAGACAAATAAGTCCTCCAACTTCCTTCCCAGGTAGCCTGACTCAATAAGTGATCATAAATTTAGACACATTTATGACTAGTGTCAGCTTTGAATGCATTGAGCTGTAACAGTAGTTTTATGAGGGTTCTAAATTTCCCCCCTCTCTAAACAAGTGAAATGAAGCTCATCCTCTTTAGTTATTCTTAGAGACCTGTGAAGGTGGCTATCTGCGTCAAGGCAGAGTGAACTGTGCCACTCAGGAGGCTGCTCTAATCCTTTGGACTCAGCTAGGTAGCAATAGATCAAGAATCCACACTGTGCTAGAGAGAGACTTGGGGAGATTAAGGATTTTGAGCAAACTGTAATCATCAGCACATAAAAGGGCTCTCACTCTCTCGGGGCATAACAGAACCAGTGCATGTGAAAAAGAGAGCTAAGATTTAAACACATTCCTTCCCAGAAGGCAGTGCAAAGTTTTATATCCATGCAAGTTGTGGACCTTTTCCCCTCCTCCACACCACCTCTTTTGCAGCTGCTCTTTCTCCCTCTCTCTGCACAGAATCTTCTGATGATTCCTACATCTCGGCGGGTGAGGACCCACTGGAACGCCCCATCTTTGAGATCCCTATCCAGGATGTAACAGTCGTAGCTGGAACAGAAGTGCTGTTCAAATGCATCATCACAGGCAACCCTTCCCCAGAAGGCAAGTGCATGGAGTACCAGGAAGAGTGTGGGATGAGTGATGATGAGCATGCATAGGCAAACCTGTGGGGTGCCCAGTGCATGTCAGTGTGAGAGGGGCCAGGAGATGGATGGGGGCCATCTACTCTACCTTTGCTGTTGTCTCTTGGATCACACAGGTGTCTTCATTTCCACAGATCTCTAGGGATAATTGGTTTTATTTGGTTTTGTGTGTGTTGGCTAGCTCACATCAGTAAAGATTCTGCTTTGAATATGGTCCAGAGCCATGTGGTCCTGGTGGCAACACTAGGAGGAAAAACACAAGGCTGGGGGAGAGAAATGGTTGCAATTCCAGCTGCCCAATAGTACCAAGTAATGGGACTGGCAAGTAATGTTGCAATTGACTAGAATGGGGAGGGGAATGGCCTAACCAGGTTTTTTGCTTTTGTTGCAAGAAAAACAAAGGGCAATGCTATTTTATTTTTAGCTGCAATCCTTTGATAGGCAGGCAACAATCCTGCTAGACTTTCCCTCCCTTCGCCTAGCTCTGCTTTCATGCAAATAATTCAACCCTTACCCCTGCACCAGAATGTTCTATTTCAAAAGTTGATAACTTTTACTGTGATGCAGTTTTCCAGCAGCAACACCTGTGGTGCTGCCAAACTGTAGTCCTGTATTATGGCTGGGAAATAACCCAAGGGAAATAACCACCATCCCAGGCCATTACCCTCAGCGGCCCTGCTGCATACCCTCTTCAAGTGTTTTTGCCTGGCTGAAATGTGTCCTTGAATTCTGATCATGCTTCTTATCTGGATGGAGGCCAGAGAGGGGAGTGTGAATGTGTGTAGAAACTAGCCTACTGTACAAAGTGGGGGAGATGCATTTGTTTGGCTGTGGCCCTGCCCACCACTGCCATGTGGCCTCTGGAAGGTTGCTCAGAAGGGAATGTGGCTCTCAGGTTGCAAAAGGTTCCTCACCCCTCCTCTCTGAAAAGGACACAGTTCCAGCAGTCAGTGGATAAAGTGGGAAGTGCCATGTATGGGGGGAGGTGCTGTATGTACAGAAGTGTCCCCACATGCTCTGATCTCCTACCCACTTGCCCCTTCCCCACAGTGTCATGGCGAAAGGATGGCGTCCCCTTTCGGAGCAGTACCACTCGCCCTATCAAAGCAGAGGGGGAACGCCACACCCTGCTGGTCAGGAGTGCCCGTGCGGCTGATGCCGGCCTCTACACAGTTTGTGCCACCAATGAAGTGGGCGAGGCCTGCTGCAGTGCCATCTTGACTGTGCGGCCAGGTAAGTGGCCGGGGAAAGCCAGCCAGATGGGTGGGGTACAAATAATAAATTATTATTATATTATTATAAGTGTGTGATGAACGCAGTGGAGGCAGCCCAGAGAGGACCAGCTGAATCCCTGAAGGCCAAGGGAGGGTTGTACAGTCATATTCCTTCCCAGGCCAAGTTTGGGGAGAAGCAGTTTCCTGCCTTGGGGCTTAGTTAGCATCCTAGGCTAGGTCTTTTTCTGTCAACCTTGTGGTGCCTCAGGCTGCTGCCGCTGCTACTGCTGAAAGAGAGATGAGGCTGCCTTTACCCTACAAGGCTTGGTTTAGGCCAGCCTGGCTGACAAACAGCCAGCAGCAGTCTTGAATGCGGGGAAGAAGGGAGAGACGGCCTGGACTGCTGGGCTCTCAGCACCAACCCCACGAGGTGGCGGCGGGGGAGGTCGAGCTGGCTGGCGGACCGACTCCGATTCCTGATCCGTGTTCCGGACCACAAACTCCGCAGGGAAACCCGTGTCAGCGGCGCCTGCAGTTTGCAAGCGTTCCTGGGCACGTGCAAATGAATTATCCGAAAGGATGCAAATGAGGTCGCCCGTCTGTTGATCTGAAATGTGAGCCCTGAAGGGGCTGGGGTCGGCGTCTGTCTGGAGCGCAGATGCCTTCCTCGGCTGTGGCTCAAGGGAAGGCGGTTCCGAAGAGGCTCCTGGATTCTGCCCGGCCTATGGCGCCTCCGTTGAGGATCCGTTTGCCCACTCGTCTCCGTGTCGGACGCTGTGTTTGAAAAGAATCGGGGATTGAGAGAGAGAGATCATCCTCGGGAAATGGCTGTAGGATCCTCTTTGCCGCGCCGATTGCAGGCTCAGGAGGGGCGCGCCGTTTGTTCCCTGCGTTCTTGCGCTGCAATCCTATGCATGTTTACTCGGAAGTAAGTCCCGCTGCGTTCAATGGAACTTAAACCCAGGTAAGTGTGTATAGGATTGCAGCTTTAGTGGGTTTGGAACTGGGAACTCGGCAGAGAGAGGGAACGCAACTTTTCAACTCCTAGGTGGGCGTTTTGAGAGGAACAGAGATGGGTGAAGCGGAGCAGGGAGAGTGTCTCTTGCTCCCATTAACCCTTTGTTTGTACAACTGAATGGTGTGAAGGGATGAGGACCCTCCAACTTCACCACATCTGCCCTATAGGTAGGAAGAAATGGGATTCTGCTTTGGGTGCCCCTCTGGGGGCTGAGAATTTATTGGGCTATAACCTCCCAAAGCAATGGGGCTGCAGAAGGGAAAGCCAGCCTCAAATTCTCTCTAGGCCTCTTACCTTGTTGTCCAGAAACTTGGAGGTGAGAGAGACTCTTATACTAAGGTGTATTACCTTGTCTTTGGGGATAGGGGGAAGCAAGGAACTACAAGGCAGGCCATTCCCATCCACACAAGATAATCTTTCCCTGCCTGCAGCAGAGCATGATGGAAGGCTTTGAAAGACTCACCCTTTTGTCTGGATCGAACACACCTCTGCTTCTTTCTCCTATTTTGTTCAAAGGGCTAAGAAACCTATCCTGTCTCTGTAGATTTTCTTGTAAACACCCCACCCATTCTTACTCAGCCTGAAGGGCAGCATTGCCACAGAAATTGCCACAAGACTATTTCCACTAACTGGCCCCACAACAAGGCCTGCTCTTCTCACAATGCATACACTGCAAGTTGTAGTTGTCCCAGCTACTAATGTCACCTTGGCCCCTTTCAGGGAGAGCAAGCCAGGAACGATGCTGCCAACAAGAAAAAGAGTACTGGCCCCCCTGATTGGAGTTGCCTGATTCATGACTGTTTAAAGTCTTTCTTTTTACCAGATGGAGATGGCATAGATATATATCAGCAGTGGGCTTCCCTGTATGCCCATGGGACTTGGCAGGGTTACAGGCAGTGTTGGATTTGATATCTTCTAAAGCAGTACTGAGAAAATGACTTGTTGTTTCTGTTTCTTCACTCTGCCTCTTTCTGGGTAAGAGGATTGAATATAGACTAACTGCAAGAAGAGTTTCACAACCCAGATGATCAAATTATTTACATTTATTTATTCTAAACAATGCACTATGCAAATTACACACTAATAGAGATGCTGTTTGTGCAGATTCATATATGCATATTTGAGGTGCCAAACTTTTCACCTCATGACTTTGCCACAACAGATTTACACAAAGAGCGGTTTCTCTGAAAGGGCCCCATTATACACAAATGCATGAAAATTAGTCAAAGAATTGTAGGTCATTACTACGTTTATTTATTTGTTAATACACTTTAATCTCATTCCTCCTCCAAGGATTTCAGGAAAACAAAATGGTCTCCCCTCAGCCCCAATTTTATTTTGTTTTGTCCTCACAATGACCCTTTGGGGTAGGTAAGACTTGAGAGATAATGACTTGCCCAAGGTGAGCTTCATGGCTGCTGAATATCTGAAAACTAACATTCTTTCTTGAACTGATAGTTGTCATATGGGGGTGAGTTTGGATACAAGCCTCTCCATAGAAAATTGAATTGATAAAATCCTTGCAGAAGAATTTTACCATCTCAGTTATGAAGACAAACATAATTCAGAAATGTCACATGGTACAGTCCTGCCTCTTCAGAATGCAGGAGGAGGGAAGTTCACATGTTTGTCATTAAAAGAAAAAACAAAACAACCTCCATGTCTGTGGAAAGTATGTCAGGAAGAAGGAGGGTTCTGACTTAGTCTCTCTTACTTTTCTACTTACAAAGATAGTTAATTTAATTAAACGGGTAGCATTCAAACATGTGATCCTTCAACTGCATTTTGAATGATACGGGCCTAGGAGGGCTGTATACCATGTGATGTTTCTGATTGTGTGGTTCTGTTCTAAAACAGCCTCTAGGCTCCATTCCACAGAAGCAGCAAAGGTCTGTTTGAGATAACAATGTTCATGCTAGGCTAAGTGCAGTGTCCTAATTGCAAAATAGGGCATAGTGGAACAGTCAAGAGGAAGGATGGAAAGAACTAATGGGGTGTTAGTTGGCTTAGGTAGGGGCAGGAAATTGGAAACTTGCATACATAAGAAGGAACAGGAGAAAGCAAAGAATGAAAACACTCTAACCATCGCACACCCTTAGGGTCAGTGTTTTGTTTCAGGGCCAGGGCCACTGTTACATTATATGCTTGCCACTTCCCTAAGTTTCCATCTGGGGCTGCTCTAGTAACGTTTGAATGATGAAAATCATGTAGGAAGAGTTGACAATGTGTTACATCCCACATCAGCAGAGTGGGATGGAGCCTGCTAGGAAGCTGGTAGCCATCATGCCCCAGTAAGAGTATCTAAAGATAAGAAGATTGGAAAAAATTTAAAGTATATTTACAAAAACATTGCAAAATTAATGAATGTTAGAAGGATGTTGGAATGAAGCTATATGGTTTTAGCAGAAATGTTATAAAGAACTAAGTAAAAGCTGATTGATAATGGGCCAAAATGAAAAAAATTAAGGTTAGACCGTTAAGATAAATTATAGAACAAAAATTGAGAAAGATGGAAAGAATTTGCTGAAATAGTTAATTGAACTAGAATACAAAAAGGAAGGTGTGAAGAGGTCGATGAAACAAGTAAATGAAAGGTAAAGATATGGAATATCAGATGTGTTTTAATGTTTTTTCTTTTTTGTTGTATTGTTGTATTGTTTTATTTTATGTTTTTTCTTTCTTTTTATATGTATTGTAATGTATGTTTTGTTAATTTTTTGTTGTTTTTTCTTTTTCTGCTTTCTGTAATTCTTTTTTTTTAAATAAATTTTTATTAAGATTTCACAGATTTTATAGACATGCATAAAAACACAGACAAACACAAACCAAATAACAAGTATAATTTCAAATCCTTATTTTCTTATAACTTACTTCACCGACTTCCCCATACCTCCCCTTTCTGCATTCCAGTTTGAAATTTTAGTTCAGCAAATCCTTACTCTTAATTTTATCTTATTTGTAACCTTTCTTTTCTTTAACTTAGTGCTTTCTGTAATTCTTAAACTCTTAATAAATATCTTTAAAAAAAAAAAAAAAAAGAGTATCTAAAGATAGCATAAGCAACCAAACATTTCCTGCTGCAATGGATTTCTATTACTATTTTGAAGGAACCAATGTATTCCAATGGTCAATTTGTGTTATTACCTTTTGTATGTACCCCCTCTTCATGTGCTATTTTTTTAAAAAGCAAAAGCAAATGGAAACCTCATCCCTTAGAATACACTGTAGGTGCACTGGGCTATCATGTAGAAAGCTAGATTATATCATTTACTCTGTGCTTGTGGCTAAACCGTCAACTAAAATCCCTGTATATGAGCCCTGGCTGCTAGGTGGGCGGCTATGTCCTGGTGCTGCTTTCCCCCTTGAGCTGGAGAGCTTTGCTGCTTCAATGTGCTGTGCACAAGCCATGCCCTAACCCTCTTCTGCCTGTCTAGCTCCCGCAGAGTCCCACAGCCGATTGGTACCCCATCACGAGCTCAGCAGCCCTGTCACATCAGATGAAGAGTACCTGAGCCCCTTGGAAGAGTTCCCTGAGTCTGGCACCCCGCGGCACCACCCTGTCATGAAAGTGCAACCCCGATCTGAGATTGGCCCACCCCCGGTGCATGTGGGCATCAACTTCAAGGCTGCCCCATCCTTTGAGGTGAGCAGGTGGTGAGACTAGCGCAGGAGGGCATGACAGTGGAAAGTAACCTATGGCTTTTGCATACTTGAATGAGGATTCAGGTTATAAACCGGCACTCCCTTGGATTGGGGTTGGGGGCCCTGGGCTTTTGACATGCTCAGACATTTGAGGCAAAAAGTAAATTCCAGCTTTTACTCCACTGAAGGTATTGCACCTAGCAGAGCTTGCCCTGCACTCTGCTTATCCCTGCCCCCTGCTTTAAAGAGAACTTGCTTCCCCATCTTCCTTTGCAGTTGGGCATGATCCTGACACTCTCTCTTGCAGGTGACACTGAGTGACCAGGAAGTACTGGAGGGGCAGGATGTGGTCCTGCGCATTCGGGTACAGGGAGAGCCAAAGCCCATTGTGCACTGGTGAGTGGGTTTTTATGATACAGCATAACTTCACAAGTAGCCATGTTGTCCTGGGATGATATGGGTGGCGAAGCTTTCCCAGTTTTGCAAAATAAGAATCTCAGGCAACCAGTAAGGGAACTTGCGTCCATCAAGAAGAGTGTTGGGTTTATTTTATTTTTTCCTGTCTGGCCTTCAGTACTCCACAACTGACTAACAACTGTGTGATATGTAGACTGGCAAAATATTAAACAGACAAGGCTGCTTTCCAAATGGCAAAAGACCCATCCAACCTGAGAATGGTTTGTTTTGTATGTAAGTGGTGGGATGGCAAAAGAAAGCAGGTCCTCAGCCTTCCAGAAAGTATCAAGAATCAGACCTGAGACTGATAGGCCTGGATGTAATGGGGGAAAAAAGGGATCTCTGATCTTATGGCTTGAACTGCCTTGACTATATTGTACCAAAAGCTATGTTTGTAGTAGCAACAAGGTTGGGGAAGGCCAATGCAGAATGAAGTATGTAGCCTCTTCCTGAGGCATGTTGCTTTGGAGGAGGGATGGTGAGATGAGATGACAGAAGAAGCATTTTGTGAAGTTGGATGGAGTTGCAAGCACTGCAGGCTCTCAGACCCTCTCCTCTGTCCTCTAGGTTGAAGAACAGGCATCCAATAAAGTATGGGCGGCGCATTTCTGCTGTGGAGGAGGACGATGGATCTTTCTGCCTACATATCCGCATGGTGGAGTGCACTGATGCTGGCTATTATGCCTGCAAGGCATCAATGAGTATGGCACCAAGCAGTGTGAGGCCAAGCTTGATGTACAAGGTACTTTGGAAGCCACAGAGCATGAAGATTAATGCTTGCCTGCCATGGGCTGTCCCCAGAATATCCTGCTTGCATGCCTATTTCCTTGGTTTACTCACTCATCTAAGCATGCTTCTGACTCC